CCCCCGGAGGCGAGCGGGCCGCTCATCTCCTCGGAGTCCTGTGGTCAACACTGTCTTAGGGCCGCGGGTGGGAGAGTGACGGGGCTCGCACTACGAGAGAAGACGCGGGACCCTCCCCCACCTCACCCTGACTCGGGCAGGCCTGTCATTCTGTCTGGAGACGCAGGGCTCGGCGCGGGGGATTGGAGGGGGGACGGGGGTGCACAGGGAGGGGCGTGCAAGGCTCTCTCTGAGTTTCTATATATTTATTCTCTCTTCGCTTTCTTTGGGGCATGCTCCCCCTTTGGGATCTGTCCTGGACTTCTCAGGCTGCGAGAACTTGTTGACAAGTGAGAGCTCAGTAGAGCCCCAGCTCGGTTTGTGTTTATGTTCCACAAAGTGCCTTCATATTTTCTCTGGACCTTGTCTGCCCTTTTCGGGGAGACGGCTCTGATCGACGCGCTAGACAGCGGTCGTCCGAGCTGCGGGGAAACGGGGCGCGCCCTGCGGGGGACCAGTGACTGTATCCGCGCTAATTTCCTCCGTAACCTTTAAACTCTCCCTGCAAGCCGCCGCCGCGGTTGGTCACGTGAGGCGAGCCCTGGGCTGCTGGGGAAGAATTTCCTCCGCCGGGAGCCGGGGACCGGGAAGGCGGCCCCGCGAGGGGTGGCCCCGCGCGGCGGGACGCGGACCTGGGAGGGCTGGTCGAGAGCGCGCAGGCCCAGGGCGCGGCCCTTGTTGGAGTATCTCAAAGGACGGGGTTGGGAAGAGGTCATCTCCGCAACCTGCGAGCTGGGGTTGTGCAAATGGAAAAAGAAAACCGCGGCTTATCCAAAATGCCAAGTCAAGTCAGGGAGTTTGTAGAAATCTAAGGTGAGTGTTCATCTGGCAGGACTGGATAGTGTAGACCAAAATGTAACACCCACTTCCCGATCACTTTTTCTCAGCGGAAAAAAGGTTATCATTACCTGTGGCTTAAAAAGGTTAAAGGCCAGGAAGGAGGCAGGCCCCTGGAACCATAGGATCAAGTGCAGCACAGAGGTCGCAAAAGTGATCAGAAAAGTCCGAAGGTGATTGTGGCAGGTCCTCTGTCTCCTAAGGCGGGCAGGGTCCTACCAGTCATTTCTAGAAGCCTACTCACCTTCTGCTGAATGGGCAGCTGGGTAGAGAGAGTGCTACAATGCAGGCTTAGGGACCAATGGGATGTTCACGTATAAAAAGTTATGCCTTACTTGGCCACTCCCACCAGCTGGAGATTATATTTGAAAATCTGTCAGTTTGACAAAGCACAAGGTGATGCCTCGTTGCTGTTTAATTTTTATTTCTCTGAACATCCGAACTTCTTCCTCCTTGTTTTTTACTTCTAACATTATATATTTTTTTAAACTCCCCCCTACCCCCACCTCCTTCATGGGGCAAGTAACTGAGGACAACTGGCAGGGAATAGGGTTTGATCTGAAAAAGCATTTGGGAAACGGAACCAGTGCTCGAATGAGATGAGAGATACTTGACAAAGAGGCAAAGTTTAAAGGGTACCAATATACTCAGTAATTAAGATAAATAATATTTTAATGCATTATTTGTAAACCTGTTTTTATTTAGTTTGAGAGAGAGACATGGATTGGCTACCTTCTGCATGCCCCCCACTGGAGATGGAGCCCACAACCCAGGCATGTGCCCTGACCAGGCATTAAACTGGTGACCTCTTGGTGCATGGGGCAATGCTCAACCAACTGAGCCACACCAGCTGGGCAATGCAATATTTTTAAAAATAAAAATACATGTAAAAATTTAGCATGAACATATCCAAAGTTTAAATCATGATAAATATTGCATTAAAATATTATTTATTTATTGGTACCCCTGAAGTTTTGTACCAAAAGATGAGTGTTTCACTTGCCTTCACTTTAGCCCTGGCCCCATTGGGAAGTCTAGAGAGGCAAGGATTTAATGAGTTAGGGATCCTTGAGTAAATAGTGTTTCATACCTCTTTCTCTGGGTGAGTTCTGTCTTACCACACAAGCAAAAGCACTGAAAAACAGTGGCCAAAATCCTTCCTCTCCAGTATGTTAAACAGGAAATCGTTTTAGAATTATGGACACACTGCATTAAACTTTTTGCATAATATCATATCCCACCCCAGACAAGACCCCCAAATATATGAAAGAGGGTCTGCTGCCATCTCGGTGAGTAGGCATTCTTCGAAGTATTGGTTTTATTCTTCTTTGCAACCTAAGTAAGGTTACAGGAAGGCAGCATCTGCCTCTTAGCAGACTGTTTGTTACACGTGAGAATAATTACACTGTAATTCTCATGTGCAACAGATACCAATGTGACCTCTACTTTCAATTATAAGTCTTTCTGTGGTGAGGGTCAGGAGGGTGGGCTGTAACTAAAAGACTTGGCCAAACTGCCTGTTTTGAATTGGATGAATATTTATATAAAAAGGGAGAATGCTGATAGTTGACATTCAAACATTGCTGATTTCCTGCCCTTCTGCATCCTTCTTTCTAAATAAATCTCTCACCTCCCTACTCTCAAACTTGGCTAAATGAAAATGTGTATTCTCCAGGGGTACCATGGAAATGCCACGTGTGGGCTTGTTTAGGGGAAGGCCCTTGCGTTTACCTGGGAAGGCCGGGGGAGCTGGTCTAAAATAACTCTCCGCTCCAGATTTCACCTGAAGAGACAAAGAAGCACTTGCAGGAGGAAGATTTCGAATGTGAAATGCCAATCAGTAATGATTGTTTACTTCCTCCTTCTCTTGGCCCCTGTATATAGTCCTGAAAGACAGACAGCCATTGATCTAGACATTGAGTAAAATGCCCCTTGGTTCCAGCTATGGCTTAGTCATCTGGTGGGAAAGGGAAAAGAAAAGGAAGAAAGATGATATAAAAGTTTTTGCAAAGATGATCAAGATGGTGCTCCTCTCCTTTTAAAATTAAGGCTCATCTGGCTGGCGTAACTCAGTGGTTGAGCGTCGACCTATGAACCAGGAGATCATGGTTCGATTCCTAGTTAGGGCACATGCCCGGATTGCGGGTTAGATTCCCCTGTGTGGGGTGTGCAGGAGGCAGCTGATCAATGATTCTCTCTCATCACTGATGTTTCGACTTCTCTCTCTCTCCCTTTTCTCTGAAATCAATAAAAATATATTTTTTTAAAATTAAGGCTTGTAGGAAAAAGGACTGAAAGAGTAAGAGTCCCCAGGGCAGTGTGATAAGTGCTGCCGTAGATGTAGGGTGCACCGGCCTCTGGGAGAGCACAGAGGATCAGCCCTTTGCCTGGGTACGTGCCACCCGGAAGGTCTAGGCCAGTGGTCGGCAAACTCATCAGTCAATAGAGCCAAATATCAACAGTACAGCGATTGAAATTTCTTTTGAGAGCCAAATTTTTTAAACTTAAACTATATAGGTAGGTGCATTGTTATTAACTTAATTAGGGCACTCCTAAGCTTTAGGAAGAGCCACACTCAAGGGGCCCAAGAGCCGCATGTGGCTTGCGAGACACAGTTTGCCAACCACAGGACTAGGCCAAGGCAGCCAATGTTAGGGCTTTGGCTGAAACCAGTGATCACAGAAGTTGTCTTCATGAGTTGGGGCTGGTATAACAGGTTATCATAGACGGGGTGGC